GACTATCGTAGAGTCAGGATTGAGATATTTGCCAGTATCGTGATAACGGTTGTCATGAAGAAACAGTTTTGGTTTGGTACTGGTCAGGTTCATGATAACAGATGTTTAAAACCAATCCATTTACCAATACTGTAAAAACATTAATTCATGTTTGGGTTTGATTTTTGTCATTTCGCAAACTATCCATATATCCAGAGATTTATTGAATGAATCTATTTATCCATAAAATAAAGAGTCCATGGAATACTTATTTTGAAGAAAAGAAAATTCAGAGTTGAGCCCCAGGATAATATATAGAACACTATATCATATTATTCAGGCTCAGCAGGCTGAATAAAAATGTTACTACGATGTACAAAACCTAATTCTTTATACAAATACGTAAATCGTGTGGGGATCTGTTCTTCCTCAATGACCTCTAACTGTATTTAAGATTACCAGACCAGACAATATTGCATCTTCGTAAATTCACGCCTTATAGTCACATCACAAAAACCACGATGTATATATATATCGCTGACCATTGTGGCCGGACAACAGATTCCGGGTTAGGTCCTAATGGATAGTGTGGTATGTTGTTTATAGAGCTGTATTCATCAGATCTGATTTGTATCGACTTCTTATTCATTCACAAACTTACAGACCTTGCACATATTGACGACTCACAAAATTGTATGAGGCTATAAAGGGGGAACACAGAAACATGAAAACTCGCTCTTACAAGTATCCAGGAGGCTGTAAAGGGGAGACTAAACAACAGAAAACTCTCTTACAAGTATCCAGGAGGCTGTAAATGGGAGACTTAGAGATAGAAACACTCTCTTACTAGTATTCAGGAGGCTGTAAAGGGGAGACTAAGAAACAGAAACATTCTCTTACAAGTATCTAGGAGGCTGTAAATGGGAGACTTAGATATAGAAACACTCTCTTACAAGTATCCAGGAGGCTGTAAAGGGGAGACACCACAGAAAAAAATTGCTTACTTGTGTCTCCCTCAAACTCAGCTGTAACAACTCGGCTATTTCCGTCAAAACTCGGAATCAAGAAGGATGAACTGCACTATTCCGTGATCCAAATCGATGTATGAAACTGTGTACTGCGCACGATATGATCAATCTAAATTATATATAAACGAACAAAATAGAGAACTTTTGAACAAGGCACAAATACTGATAGTCTGTATATATGCTGATATCGCAAAGAGATTAAGCGGTATGTATTGAAACAAGATACATCTAAAACATACAACCATATTGTCCTGTGTTAATATTTAAAACCAGGATACACATTTTGTTTAGTGAATCATATCGTGATCAGATGCATAGTCGAGGCGAACATGCCACAATATTTAGACATAGCGTGTTGATACTCTCTTGTAATATATGGTTTATTTTTGAATGTTTATCACATGGCATAACAAGACACATAGACATGAGATACATAGTATGACAAAACACATAGATAGTATGACAAGACATAGAGACAGAAGATACAAAGGCAGTGTAACATGTGACACACACAGTATAACATGTGACACAGAGACAGTATAACATGTGACATAGACGGTATAATATGTGACACACACAGTATGACATGTGACATAAACGTTATGACATGTGACACAGAGACAGTATAATATGTGACATAAACGTTATAACATATGACACAAAGATAGTATAACATGCGACACAGAGACAGTATAACATGTGACATAAACGTTATATTATGTGACACAGAGACAGTATAACATGTGACATAAACGTTGTAACATGTGACACAGAGACAGTATAACATGTGACATAAACGTTATAACATGTGACACAGAGACAGTATAACATTTGACATAAACGTTATAACATGTGACACAGAGACAGTATAACATTTGACACATATTATAACATATGACATAGACGGTATAACATGTGACATAGACAAATACAAAATGCGGTACAAACTAGCGCCTAACAAAGTAATACATGCAAGATAAATAACATGCATGTTACATTGTAGACATCTGTTATAAAAAGTACATAATACATAGCATATAAAAAGTCATAACGTGTGACAAATATGTAGACATTATGATACCTGACAATCACTGTATTACATATAGCAAAGAATAAAAGACGGGACAAGAACAGCGTAACACGTGACATATGTATAGACGGGATAGCAGATATTTTATTTATTCTGAATTTGTTGATTACAACATACAGGAAGTTAGACAGCATACGTTTTGACATAGACATGCTTCAAATCACGTGATACAGATACACCACAGACACGTGACACGGAAATACAACATAACACAGGACAGTTACACAACATTACACGTGATACAGATACACCACATAACACGTGACATGGAAATACAACATAACACAGGACAGTTACACAACATTACACGTGATACAGATACACCATATAACACGTGACATGGAAATACAACATAACACAGGACAGTTACACAACATTACACGTGATACAGATACACCATATAACACGTCACACGGAAAAACAACATAACACAGGACAGTTACACAACATTACACGTGATACAGATACACCACATAACACGTGACATGGAAATACAACATAACACAGGACAGTTACACAACATTACACGTGATACAGATACACCATATAACACGTGACACGGAAAAACAACATAACACAGGACATTTACACAACATTACACGTGATACAGATACACCACAGACACGTCACACGGAAATATAAAATAACACAGGACAGTTACACAACATATCACGTGATACAGATACACCACAGACACGTTACATAATTACACAACATAACATGTAACAAAGCTACACTACTTATAACACGTGAAATAGGCACACATCATCACTGGTTTCATACAGCATAACATTTGACACTTATACAGCATGACACATGACTCGGTTACATAACATAACACGTGATACAGTTACATGACATGACATGTGACAGATAATTAAACCATATGTATTTTTTATAACGTGACGTAATCTGCAGCTTTATGCGAAAACAAATTCACCGAATACTTGAATCCAAACAAAAGTCCTGTTTGAAGCGTAACTGGCTTATTCGGTATTGAAGTTGTTGTTGGCCTGGTAACGCCATTAAGGCCAAATGTATTCACTTGATTACAATATAATTGATTGTTTAGTGTATATGGGATACGTGTACACAGACTACCGCCTTTAGTATCTACTGACCTACAACCCCGACCTTACAACCAGTATCCTATATATATAGATATATTCTGAAACTCGAGTGTCATCGATTTTGATCGATGGCCGTTAAATCATTGGGTTGCTACTTCAGCGTTGATTAAACAGTTTAGCCTTAATATATTGTAAGATGAATGATGAATGCCTTTTTTTTGCAAAAGTGACTTATAAATGTTTTATTAGAAAAGTTGTCATGCATAACATCACCTGTATTTGTACGCCCTCGCTCTCTCTTGCTCCAATATCGCCAAGGCAACTGTTATGGTAACGCGTGCTGGGCCGACCAGCGTTGATACATGGAAATGCCTAGTCACCGTCATCGGGAATTCCATATATGGCTCCGGTCATTTAAGTCACTCTAATGGTCAAGGTACACAAGTACATTGAAGATGTACCAGGCTAGTGTGGGGCTATGTTAGAAAATGGAACGGTTACAGCACGCTTTCATGGTATGATGAATAAACTCTCCTCAATAAGTCTAGTTCGGGTGCCGGAGTTCATGTGTGATTTCGAAATGGATAGAATTTATAATCTTCATTAATGAGTTAGTTAAGACATGTTTGGACCGGATGAGTCTTATAACACATCTCCGTGTTTAACAAGAACATTTTATGCGAGTCAGAAAAACCAGTGACGATAGTGAATTTGCGCTGATAACGGTACAACCAATTACACGTGTGTTTAAGTGCTGAAACCGAAACCATCAAAAGACGCGTGTGTTGGTGTGAAATATCAAGTCATCATTAGACACATGTACTAAAACCTGGGTAATCATCAGAAGACACGTTTGTTTGTGTGTTTTAGAGGGACAACAGAAGACACGTGTATGTGTGTTTACACTAGGACATCAGAAGATACGCTTGATTGTGTACTTTACCGAGACAACAGAAGACACGTGTGTTTGTGTGCATCTACTAGGACATGAGAAAAACACGGATGTGTTTTACTAATAATTGAACATTAGAAGGTACGGGTTTGTGTTTTGATGACAAGACATCAGAAGATATGGGTAAAGGAGTGCTTAAACTGACCAAAAAATGACATGTGTTTTGCAGGGAGACTCTGGAACGTTAATGATGTGTTTTTTGGAGCACTGACTCCCGACCATCAATGACACGTGTTTAGTTCGCCGACTCTGGAACATCTTTGATATGTGTTTTGTGTTCTAACTTAGGACCTCAAATGACACGTGTTCTTAGCGCTGAATCCATGATAAGTGTTTTTGTGTGCTGACATCGGATCGTCATTGACAGATGTTTTGTGCGCGAACTCTGGAACACACATAATGTGTTTTGTACTCTGACTCCCGACCAGGTTTAGTGACTCGCCCTGATTGTATTGTCCAGTTATTGGGGTTATATTGAACGTAATTGACTTATTCCGCCGATATTTTTCTGTAACTGTGTTCATATAGAATAGGCCGTGAATAATTCACGAGCATGACTCTTGACACTTGTTATGTACCTAGAGAGGTACCATGTGTTGGTTTAGATATACTATATTGTCATCGGCGACGATTATGTCGATGACTGTATTATTTACGTCACGTGACAAGCAAGTAGTCCTGTAAATCATCCTGAACACGGATACTGGATTTCTTCCTCACTAGGCAGCCCTGGGTGATTAATTATGACACCAAATCAAAGACAATGAATGTGATACCGGGTTGTGTATTCCAGGAAAGTTATGAGGAAAGATGATAACACAGCCCAAATGCTGTGACGTATAACGTTTATGTAACAATTACCCAGCCTGTTGACGTGACGTATGACCAGAACTGACCGGATGGGGTGTGGAGGTTCAAAATCAGGAAAACATAAGCACAGTGAACAAGACGACGGAATGAGGGACGAGTCGATTAACGAACACCTGACTGACAGACAAATACACCTAGTGAGGGATAGCTGGGGTCTTATACACGACTCATCTTTTATGGAAGTAGGACTGTCCATCTACACCAGGTATGTCTACTTCTACATACTCACTATAGGTCATCCATAGTAGGTACTGCAAGGCAAGTCAGTGTTATACTGCATATATACTTCAGTTAATAAAGTTACTAGATACAAGTACTCCCAAGTACACTTATAAATATAGATGTGTGTGTAAAGTAACACCTTACATAAACCCGCGGTGTATAATTCAACTTGATATATAACCCAGGTTATATAGTTACACTAGATATATAACCCAGGTATACAGTTATACTAAATATATAACACAAGTATATAGTTACACTAGATATATAACCCAGGTATATAGTTACACTAGATATATACCCAGGTTATATAGTTACATAGATATATACTAGATATATAACCCAGGTATATAGTTATACTAGATATATAACCCAGGTATATAGTTACACTAGATATATAACCCAGGGTATATAGTTACAGGATATATAATATATAGATATATACTAGATATATAACCCAGGTATATAGTTACACTAGATATATAACCCAGGTATATAGTTACACTAGATATATAACCCAGGTATATAGTTACACTAGATATATAACCCAGGTATATAGTTACACTAGATATATAACCCAGGTATATAGTTATACTAGATATATAACCCAGGTATATAGTTACACTAGATATATAACCCAGGTTATATATTTACACTTGATATACAACCCAGGTATATAGTTATACTGGATATATAACCCAGGTATATAGTTATACTAGATATATAACCCAGGTTATATAGTTACACTAGATATATAACCCAGGTTATATAGTTACACTAGATATATAACCCAGTCTATATAGTTACACTAGATATATATCCCAGGTTATATAGTTACACAATATTTATAACCCAGGTATATATATAACAATATATAACAAACCAGGTATATAGTTACACTAGATATATAACCCAGGTTATATAATTACACTAGATATATAACCCAGGTTATATAGTTATACTAGATATATAACCCAGGTATATATATAGATATATTATACTAGATATATAACCCAGTTATATAGTTACACTAGATATATAACCCAGGTTATATAATTACACTAGATATATAACCCAGGTTATATAGTTACACAATATTTATAACCCAGGTTATATACTTACAAAAAATTTACAAACCAGGGTATATAGTTACACTTGATATATAACCCAGGTATACAGTTATACTAAATATATAACCCAGGTATACAGTTACACTTGATATATAACCCAGGTATACAGTTACACTTGATATATAACCCAGGTTATATAGTTACTAGATATATAACCCAGGTATATACTAGATATATAACCCAGGTATATAGTTATACTAGATATATAACCCAGGTTATATAGTTATACAGGTTATATAGGATATATAACCCAGGTATATAGTTATACTGGATATATAACCCAGGTTATATATTTACACTTGATATACAACCCAGGTATATAGTTATACTGGATATATAACCCAGGTATATAGTTATACTGGATATATAACCCAGGTTATATATTTACACTTGATATACAACCCAGGTATATAGTTATACTGGATATATAACCCAGGTTATATAGTTATACTGGATATATAACCCAGGTTATATAGTTATACTGGATATATAACCCAGGTTATATAGTTATACTAGATATATAACCCAGGTTATATAGTTACACTAGATATATAACCAAGGTATATAGTTATACTAAATATATAACCCAGGTTATATAGTTACACTAGATATATAACCCAGGTATATAATTACAGTCGTTGTATCCACTAAGTTATATGATTACAGTAGATGTATCCACCAAGTTATATCATTACAGTAGATGTATCCACCAAGTTATATCATTACAGTAGATGTATCCACTAAGTTATATCATTACAGTAGATGTATCCACTAAGTTATATAATTACAGTAGATGTATCCACTAAGTTATATAATTACAGTAGATGTATCCACTAAGTTATATAATTACAGTCGTTGTATCCACTAAGTTATCCACTAAGTTATATCATTACAGTAGATGTATCCACCAAGTTATATCATTACAGTAGATGTATCCACTAAGTTATATCATTACAGTAGATGTATCCACTTAGTTATATAATTACAGTAGATGTATCCACTAAGTTATATAATTACAGTAGATGTATTCACAAAGTTATATGATTACAGTAGATGTATTCACAAAGTTATATAATTACAGTAGATGTATCCACCAAGTTATATCATTACAGTAGATGTATTCACCAAGTTATATAATTACAGTAGATGTATCCACTAAGTTATATCATTACAGTAGATGTATCCACTAAGTTATATCATTACAGTAGATGTATCATTACAGTACATGTATCCACTAAGTTATATAATTACAGTACATGTATCCACCAAGTTATATCATTACAGCAGTTGTATCCACTAAGTTATATAATTACAGTCGTTGTATCCACAAAGTTATATAATTACAGTAGATGTATCCACTTAGTTATATAATTACAGTAGATGTATCCACTTAGTTATATAATTACAGATGTATCCACTAAGTTATATAATTACAGTAGTTGTATCCACTAAGTTATATAATTACAGATGTATCCACTAAGTTATATCATTACAGTAGATGTATCCACTAAGTTATATAATCTATTAGATATTAACGGAAATTTGATAGATTTATTCCTGATGTACGATCTATTTAAAGGCGACCTTAGTTTTTTAAGATAAATTTCTGTTTATACGAGAATTTGTTTTCATGTTATATAAACCGTGTTTCATGGTAACCAGTTGATGAACATGAAGCGTGCAAACTCGTAACCGGTCACTCCAATTTTACTATATATAGAGGTAATGTTCTAATATGTCCCATTTATTGTTCTGTCGGGTGTGTAAACATTCTCGATTACATAATTAATAATTTACACAGATAATTGTATGTTGTATTGACGGGCACAACCACAACTGTCCCCCCGGACAAAGCATCACTTCAGTCTTCAGTCTTGTTGACTTGGTGCCATCGTTACAGGAGCATAACACCAGTCGTGTTACTGATGACTATTAAACACGCTGTTCATCACACTTAGTATGTTGACATATCAGCCATTTACGGTTACAAAAGCATACTTTGGTTTTAATTATCATATAATTCCACCCTCCAGTACCAGTGGTGAAATGGATGTTCTTACATCATCCCCGATGTTCACTCAGCCATCCGAACATTCCGATGTTATCAATAACTTTAATTTGCCAGTCACACCCTGTTTAAATATTGATTGTATGAAATATTTATGTGCGTTTCCATCCATTTTACGTCTGCCACTTAACATGTCTGTTCTAATCTTGTTCCATCACACCTGTCCCACCACATCTATCCTTTCAATCCCTTTTTTACATCCGTACCATCCCTTTCACAACCCTTTCACAACCGTACCGTGCCTTTCAAAACCCTTTCACATCCGTACCATCCCTTTCACAAACCTTTCACAACCGTACCATCCCTTTCACAACATTTAACAACCGTACCATCCCTTTCACAACCCTTTCACAACCGTACCATCCCTTTCACAACCCTTCCACAACCGTACCATCCCTTTCACAACAATTTCACAACCGTACCATACCTTTCAAAACCCTTTCACATCCGTACCATCCCTTTCACAACAATTTCACAACCGTACCATCCCTTTCAAAACCCTTTCACATCCGTACCATCCCTTTCACAACCCTTCCACAACCGTACCGTGCCTTTCAAAACCCTTTCACATCCGTACCATCCCTTTCACAAACCTTTCACAACCGTACCATCCCTTTCACAACATTTAACAACCGTACCATCCCTTTCACAACCCTTTCACAACCGTACCATCCCTTTCACAACCCTTCCACAACCGTACCATCCCTTTCACAACCGTACCATACCTTTCAAACCCTTTCACATCCGTACCATCCCTTTCACAACCGCACTTTCTTTTTCATTTTTTTGTAGCATCTCCTTTTCCAATGAATCGGTGAATACTCCTAGATATCTATGACTGTCTACAAATCTAAAATTTCGACATTTTAAACTATTTCCATTGTAAGATCCAAATCAGTCTTAGAGATAAGTAGGATTGGACTTGATCGACCATTTATCTGCACATAGTTTTAATAGACGACTTTCTATGTATATAATCCGTTATATCATTCATATATACGATGAACAAATGAGGCCCAAAGACCCTAGCGCATTCGTAGATTTAACGAAGGATTTTCTACTTCCAAAATATACCTATTTTTTCATGTCAGATACATATTCCTTTAAGCGCTCCAATAACTAGTGTGCTATACCATTACTAAATAGCTGCACTGCCACTCTCCTGGGCCACACTCTGTCGGGTGACTAAAAACATATTACAGAAAACGAGACAGGTATCAAACCGCGGCTTGCCATTAGGTCCAAATTGTGACTACTGTTGAAGGGCTACTCTCATTAGCTGTCTATAGATTGTAAAAGCGGATATCTCAAATTTATTGTTTTAAAGCTCATTCTGATCACTTGTAACAGAAATTTTCCGTTTATAAATCCTAGTAATACTTCTCCCTACAGTCAGTTCTACAGACGTCGCTTGGTGGTCTGAAATGTCGTTTTGTTTGCATGCTTTTAAAGAATTAACTTGTCGTCTTTTTCCAGTTTCTTCCGCTCAGTTGAGAACGAGATCCTTGTTCTTTTCCCGCGTGTGATCCGGACTGAGGATGGCGGGGAGAGTCTGGGTGTAGATGAGGACATGCTCAAGGCCCACGCAATGCGCGTGATGGAAGGACTGGACACTATTGTCACGTACCTGGACGAGCCCGCCAAGCTGCGAACGTATTTAGAGTACCTTGGGAAACAGCATCACAACAGCAATGTTAAAGTCCGGATGTTAGAAGTGAGTAGATCATGATGTTAAACAGACTGTGGAATTGATTGATTGAAAATGACACCGAATCAAAATGTGCCCCGCGATATAAAACGGATTATTTTCTGAAGTTCTATGTTGGGATATGTGTTTTAAAATTGATTTCATGGATCGATGAATTTGGTCAGTTTGACACGGCAACAATATACAATTCCATTATGTACCTCCTAAATTTTGTCTTTTCCTGTGCGTTTAAAATCTGTGTTGATTCACAAGATATTCTACAGAAAAAAATCCTCATAAATTAGATAGTAGGACGGATGGTGTGTCACCGCATTCCAGTCCTTTAAATATATCCTATCATTTTTTCACTCATTTTGCTAAATTTCTCTAATTTTGTCTTCAGCGACTGTGGCCTTGTATTGATGAAAGTTTCAACGCTACCCTCGGGGACGTTTACCTAACAGATGTTCGGATAGCCTGGCGAAACGTGATCGAGTACGTCATCTCCAAAATGACTAATATCATGACACAGGAAATGAATAAGCAACGGACTGCGCATGTCAATGGAAACGGAACTTTGTCAGTCACGTGACGAAATTGACGAGTACATGTCCGTTACATTGTGTAAATTAAATGTGAATTTTGTTATAGGATCGTGTGGGGAAAACGTGAGTCGGTCTTATCGCGAACAAAGTATAACCCACAGAAGCCGTTTTGTGACGTTTTAAAGGTGATAATGATACACTGAAACACTTAATTCTATGAATTAAGATAAAATGTAAGACGAATTACGTTCGTCACGACTGACAACAAAACTTCCCAGAACCTGTTTAATAACCGATTTGCTCTTCGCAGAAACACGGAAGTACGATTGGAACTAAAAAAAAAAGCTCTGATTATCGTTAATAACCGTGTGCTTGGTGTGTGATCAATTCTGCTGAAACAATTTGTCGAAGAAGATAGATTGTGTTTCTGTAATTCAAAATGTGCAGCCAATTAAGAAATTGCATCTTTGTTGGGTGAAGCGAAAACAATGAACCTTCAGCAGGCAAGTAAGATGTCACATTTCTTTAGTAAAGAGTTCTGTCTTTTGTTGTGAAGTACGATATTGAAACCTCCTGTAGAAAGATATTTTACCTTCTGCGGAAAGGTATGAGATTTTACTTTTTGCAGTAAATTCCTTATAGGAAGATATTTTACTTTCTGCAGAAGAGTACAAGACTTCACATTCTATGGTAAAGTGCGATACTAAATGTCGTATTAAATTTCCTTGTAGCAAGATATTTTTACCCTCTACAGAAAATTAAGAATTTTTTGCTTTTTACAGTAAAGTACGATATTTAACATTCCTGTAGTAAGATATTTACTCTCTGCAGAAAATTAAGAGATTTTACTTTTTATGGCGATATTTCAGTCTGTCTAAAGTAAGATATTTCACTTATTTTTAGAAAGAGAAAGATTTTATCTTTTGAATTAAATTCTAAAGATTCCTGTATCTAATTCAAAAATTTATCACCTGTAGTTAAGATCTACATATGTATCGCACATTGTGAAGTGAAGTAAGACATCATTCTTTTGTAGTTAAGTAACATATTTAACCCCTAATATAGCCGAAGTATCTTGTAGTTAAGTAAGTAAATCTATATATATACTTCTTAGTTACTTGATCGGTGTTTTAAATATATTTCCATGGGTTAAGTTGAATTTGTGAATTATGTGATGATGTTTACCAAAACATCTTTTTTTTCTGATGATCGTTTGACATCGACTCCCGAGATACCGTCCTACCTTCTGTGATAATGGAGATACAATCCTGCGTGATATTTCTATGATTTTGTCGCCCTCAAAGCGATCTTTTGTGATCTTCAATTGTCACCATATATATAACAACCTTCTGTGATATTCTGCCTAACTTGTATGTTATATTGATATACCATGTATAGTCATAATACTTGTTTTTATTATAGCTGTCCCATCGTGTTATTTTTAATGTTTGAAATATACATTGTAGTAAAATGAAAACCAGACAAAATTGCTGAAAAAGCTGAAAACCAGGCGTGTCAGCTGGGATATGTTGGTATATATTGTACCGATGAAAACTCTGACAAGTTTACATACATGTAAATAGATTGGTATATGAATAGAAATATATACTTTGATCAGTTTAGCTTAATTTTATCTCAAGCACCTATATCTATTTACATGTACCTATGCAAAGTTGAATATACCATTCCTTTTTCTGTACATAGACTTTTCAAAATGACTTATACTTGTTCGTCCAAAGTTGATTAATTGAATATGATTATAGTTAATAGATTTTTAACGATATAGGTACCTTGTTTAATAATGTTCAATCTGTGCGTATTGAGTGAGCACCTGCTCGAAACCGGAAGTACATCAATGTGAAATTGACATTAATGTTTATTTCATCTGATGTTGTTTCTATGTGATATTGACAGGGCAGTCTATGCGACATGTAGTATTAAGAGCGAGCGCTGCTTAACAATCCCACAATCCCGTGACATGGCACTCGGATTACCTGTTTTTTTTTCAGCTGAAATTTTGACATACCATTGTGATTCTGCACGTTTCATATCTGTCTAAGCGATCAAAGTGATTAGATATCAAACATGTCGCTCCTTCCCTTCCTTGACCCAGACATGAATAAGGAATACATCTTGGCTACTACTTTGGAAGCGAAAACACGATACACATTAGCAAAAGGCAAATTTAGCGAGGTTAGATTCCCACTCTCACTATTGCATTCTCACTCCCTCGCTCATTCTATTAACGTCTGTGGAGCGAGAATACAAATACATTACATTCGCCTCTTCGCTCCCAAGTCATCGTATTTCCGCTTCCGGGAGAGATTGAGCGATAGTTGAAATTTGATCATAACAGAACCCAAGTTTTAAAAAATTCGATGATAAAAACGAAATAATGTTAATTTACACATCTAACAGGTGAGACAACCGTGTTCCCGATTATTAAAATAAGTTGTACAATTCTGCTGTAAAAATAGTATTAAATGTACTGATTACATTACCTATAACGTGTTGGCGTCATTATTACATATAAGTTTTACCTGTAGGATATATTTGAAGATTCCAGAGGATTTCCGGGTATTTTAGAAACATTTAAGACTGATGGTGAAAAGTTGGTTATCAAAATATAGCCAATAGCTGTTTAGTGTAAGGACTATCCTCAGTTGCATATTTTGACTCCACTACAACATCACGGTAATGTGCATGTGTATGTACCAATATGGTGTTGTATAATTCATATACCCTGTAATTACTCGACTAATGAGATAGCTGTGGGTAATGAAACTGCTATCCTGAGGGACAGACAAATGTATATTTTTCGTATTTGTTATGTTTATACGGACTGTGAGGTCGGATTCGGAACGCGTTCACGGAATCCCTGACCCGGACTCTGTACTTTACTTATATACACCACTTCCGGTGTCCCTGATAAACATCATGGTTGCCCTGGAGAACGTGGAAATCGGGCTGACCTAGTTGTAGGGTTGATTTAATTTCTGTTGTCGACTTAATCATGTCATAACGTTCAATAATATGATTAGAGACACGGTTAGTGTCGCTTTATATCAGTGTGATCAGTGCTGAAAATTCTCACCCTTCATCCTGGAAACGGCTTCATGAAACATGTACCTTAAGATTAGTACTATTGTGTGTACCGTGGCTAAATTTCAGTCGTTTTCAGTTGCTTGTAGGGACAATATACGTTAGCAAAGTGTTCGCAGCTTTATCGATCAAATCTTTGATAGTTACGTGAGTCTATATAGTACAGGTACGTCTCGGTATATATACATTTGGCATCTAGGCGACCGCGGTTGAGCCTTGAAACATTGAGAGGTATTATTGCATGGCATACGAATGTTCCATATGACAATCGGAATGCCTCTGTTCCTGATTTTTAAGATTGTTTAATGAAACAGGTATTTGATCAACGAAAGGTTTTGTTAGTATAAAAATTTGCGTGATCTGGAACACTGCTCTGTGGCACTCTTTCATCTTTGAACACGACATTTCCTGCCTTTGAACTCCATAGTGTGATCTTTGAACACCACCAAATGAACTTTCGCTGTATCATCTACTGAACCGTCAGGCACTACGTTTGTATCTATTGAATATCGCTGCATTTTTCTTGAACAGTCAGGCTTTCCGCGGTCTCCATAAAATTTCTTGACCGTACCGAACATGATGTAGATGATGAATTTGAATGACGTGGAATGGTCCACGGAACAAAATCTAACCATTTATGTTTATGTAGTGTTTGTAACGCCGTGGGGTACTGAAACTTCTTGAGAGTGAAAGATCACTCGAAAGTCATTCTACAATATGTATATATATTTTGATAAAAGCGCCATGTTGATTTTGAAATTGACCGGAAGAAATATATTGGGTAACTGTTACTAGAAATATCATTTTCTTGGTCGGATAATAATGAATCATTCCAAATTTCAAATTGCATGCGGTCCAAGCTGATAGAAAAAAAATCGATCCAAAATCAATCAATCAAAATTCTACTATTGATTTTGGACACGACCCGGCATAGCTCAAGGTCGTTACTAATAAAATAAGTTATGTTTGATATACCTAGATTGTCAGTTAAGAGCTTACAATCACACTAAATTAAAACTTGGTAGCTGCGATTGTCTTCCGGATACGAACATCTCAACTTTGTACACGCTCAGCTGAAGACATGGTAAATGGTACTTAAAAACTACTTTCTACTACACTCACACAGAGTAAGGGTAGGGAAATATTCCGATTTGGAGGTGACAGGTAGAGGTCAAGGTCACCACTGAACCAAAGGTCAAGAGAGTGGTCACGTGCATTTGATATCCAAACTGATTTTATAACATTTAAATTTTGTAAAAGGTGAGGTAAAAACAACAACAACAACAATAAAACAAACAAACAAACAAGCTACAAACAAAAGATCTCTTCGATGTTCAACAAACACCGCCGCATTATCGGAGTCGGCTAATTGCTCCTACTAGATAAGGAAAGAGATATCTGAATTGTTAATAAGGAATGTTTAACTATACATTGATAAGAAAACACGTGATAAACTGAAAGCTAAAATTCAACAAAGTAAATTATCATTTTAAAAAGTTTACAGTAAATATCAGTAATGTCGTGATATTCACAAACACTAGCTAACACCTAACCCTGAAATGGACCATACGACAATGATGAAATGTGCGGAACAAAGGACGGAGCTAGCTTCAATATCACCGCATACCTGTACGTCAGTGAGCTGAGATAGAAACGGCCACGCAGAAAAAGAGCATATTTTTCAGTTTGGTTGAAATGGCTCCTTAGCGAAAGACAAAAAAACTTTTATTGGCGTAAAAACATACTGGATGATAGAGATCTAACAAGGATTAGTTCTTAAATAGAAGTTGCTTGTTTTTCTTTCTTAAATTGCCCCTGTAACATACTGTTGATAACTTACATGGTGGCCTATGAAGTATTGACGTTAAAAATACATCTTGAGTTTCTTGTCCTCGGGAAGGCCAGTACATAACTCGACCCTTGCGCTGCTAACACAATACGTAAA